TCCGAGGCTGCTTTAATTGAGATCGTCTAGCCTACGACGCGCTGCTCCTGTTGCTTAGCAACGCTGACAGTAGCAGCTGAGAGCCTTTTTTACAGCATTGCTTGATGGATGTGAAAATATCAATTGTATCTCGTTTATTTAATTTTTACAGAAGATGTGATGTGCCTTACATTGAGAGAGGACCACACCCAGGTGCAGTAATGTTAACACTAGGAAACAACAGTTAGGTATGTAGATAAAAGCAGAGTCATTTAAATCTAACTTTATTTAGTTAATAAAGGGATTCTCCTTTCTTTGCTTTATTTTAAACCTGCTCAGGTTAATTTTATTTGTTTTATTTTTTAACAGATTTGGGTGAAATCATTTTTGTCCAGAAGCTCTGACTGTTATGTGTTTGCAGGAGCCAAATGCAGATTCTCAGACAAAGTGAGTCAAAAGAAAATACTTTTAATTTTATAGGTGGAAGTTCAACCTCTCTGGGTACTCCGGCATTCATCCCTCAGTCACCTCTCATCCGAGAAGCTTCTTCAGTTCTAAGGTCAAATGGTGGGGAGTCCCAGATATAAACCTAGTGGGAGTATCCCCCCACAGAGAGACAAAAGGACCCCTGATGATCCTCTAATCGCCAAGGTGTGAAACTGGGTGTGGGTCACAATCAGCCAGAGTTTCAGGTGAGTTTTTTGTTCACTCATTGTTCCTGTGCCGACATATCAGACGTTAAAGTGTGTTTCTGTGTCTCTAGATTCCCCAGACCCATCCCCGTGTTTCCCCGTGTGGAGTGTGGAGAGAGGTCGGCGTCGACATGTGTGGGACTTTCCTTTTTCCATGGAACCCCGCCCCTCACGTCTTGTAAATAGCACAATTTCCGCACTGCCTGTAAATACACTTGGTGAAGAAATTGTAAATAAAACTTTCTCTGTTAAATCACAACCCTGGAGTACTGCGTGTGGATCCTCAGAGCAACCCGTGACAGTCCAGCAAGAACACCACAAAAATTCAGAAGAAAAGCAACAAACAAAATCCCGACTGAAAAAAAGACAAGGTCACAAAGGATAACTGAAATTATTTATACTAATACATGTTGTGCTTTTCATACAAATTTATACACATTAGAGCTAATCAGGGGAATAGGGAACGACTGAACACACAGGTGAGACTCATCAGAATTAATGACGCAGGAAGTGAAACGAAATACAAAGCATAAGAGACAAATGACCATCAAACAAAATGAGAAGTCAATGACTAACACTGAAACATCACATAAAAGAACATGGGGGAAAAGTTAGGAAAAACAACATAAGCAACTTTGTGCAAACTGCTTCTGAGCAACACAAACTGACCTGCATAACTTATTTTTCTTCACTTGGGCACACTGGATGCTGGTTGTTATTCCACTTGCTTTCGATAGTTAAATCTTACTGTAATAAACTTTTACTCATCTATGAAAGGGCCCTAAACTATGTTAAAGGAGCCACCTTCAGAATAAGAAACCTCTAACTGCAAGGCAAAAACTGTAGCAGCTGAACATCCCTATGCTATCAGACCTGAAGATGCTTTTAGCTACCTTCAATCAGGCACTTGACCTGCCACAAAGACAGAAAGCAAAACAAACAGAGACAGGACTTACTTCATACAGGAGACTTCAAACACAGAGACGGGATAAGACAGACAGGACATGAAAGGAAACTAAGATCATCTGATGATCATAGAAAAGAAAACTCAAAATCACTATAATATTTAAAGGACTTAAGAGAACTCTTAAATCCAAAAGAAAAAATCACGAGCCACCAAAAATCTTAAGACTTTGGGCCAAACACACTGAACTATGACAGTGAGCTGAGCAGTCAGAGACTAATTATTCTTAATCTTTATCCTTTATCTCCCCACATTCTCCTCCTCTACCTCCACTCCTTCATTTTCTTTGTTCTTCTTTGTAAAAGAGGAAGAC